GTGGTTGGCTATGGTGGATGGGTGTAGGTGAAGGTGGAGGAAGAAGGTGCAAGGTGTTCGGCTATGGTGGATGGGTGTAGGAGATGGTGGAGGAAGAAGGTGCAAGGTAGTTGGCTATGGCGGATTGGTGAAGGTGGAGGAAGAAGGTGCAAGGCGTTTGGCTATCGTGGATGGGTGTAGGTGAAGGTGGAGGAAGACGGTGCAAGGTGTTTGGCTATGGTGGATGGATGTAGGAGAAGGTGGAGGAAGAAGGTGCAAGGTGGTTGGTCATGGTGGATGGGCGTAGGTGAAGGTGGAGGAAGAAGGTGCAAGGTGGTTCGCTATGGTGGATGGGTAGAGGTAAAGGTGGAGGAAGAAGGTGCAAGGTAGTTGGCTACGGCGGATGGGTGTAGGTGAAGGTGGAGGAAGAAGGTGGGAGGTGGTTGGCTATGGTGGATGGGTGTAGGTGAAGGTGGAGGAAGAAAGGCGCAAGGTGGTTGGCTATGGTGGATCGGTGTAGGTAAAGGTGGAGGAAGAAGGTGCAAGGTGGTTGGCTATGGTGGATGGGCGTAGGTGAAGGTGGAGAAAGAAGGTGCAAGGTGGTTGGCTATGGTGGACGGGTGTAGGTGATGGTGGAGGAAGAAGGTGGGAGGTGTTTTGGGTTGTCCTTTGGACATCTGGGCGAGGTAAATGGCTATGGTGGATGGGGAGAGGGAGATGATGAAGAAGGTGGTGGAGGGGGAAGGAGCAAGGCGGTCTTAGCCCCGTGCCGCCCCCTAACCCAAGTGTTCGAGTCCGTTGTTCGCCGTATTCTCTAATCCCGGAGGCAATACACAATCCCACAGCACACAACCTACAACTAACATGCAGAAAACACAGATTTGTAGCAGACACAGTTGGCCGACAAATCACAAAATTCGCAGATTTGGCGGTTACGGTAACTTACCGTTTTTGCTGTTTTTGTTTTCCAGGGTGAAAAATATACATATAGTGCCGGAAAAGTGAAAATAAGGCCTCAACCATACATATCGCTCTTCGTTTCTAGTGTACGGCTAGCGGGACTCGAACCCACAAGGCGCGAAGTGCCGCCACATCCTAAGTGTGGTGCGTAAACCAATTTCACCATAGCCGTTTCTTTCTGGAATATGTATACAAGTTAGTTGCCTGTTGGCTGCTTCGACATCTACCGACTTCGTACCCTTTGGAAATCAATTAAATTATGCCTGAGAGAAAGGTCTGGCCAGAGCGAGCAGACTACAGCGATCTATCTATTGTTGTAGTCCTCCAGAGGCCTGTTTATTTAAATAAGTTGTGCCCCCATTTCTATTTTATTTCAATTAACGCACACCACTGCCCCAAACGACCTTGGAATCCTTCAAAACTTTGTGGGACTTCTCACTGCATCATAGGGAAGGCCTCTGCAAATTTTGGTTTTATTCTGACGCCGTTTGGGTCAAGTTGCACGTTTCGGGCGTCGACCGGTCTTGGGGTGAACAGTTTGCGGAAGTCCATTTTCTAATTTTTTCAAAAAACGGACTCCGATGGCGTGCTGGGTCTGCAGGCTGTTTGTTTATGCCTAGGATATGAGGTCTGAGAATTCTCAGCCTTCATACATGTGGTTTGACAGCGTTGCCGTCGTCATGCCCTTGGGCCGCCTTGGCCCGCTTGTCGTCTTCGGATGGTTTCGCGCCGACGAGTGGTCAATCATCTTTGCTTGCCTCATCGGCAGTCCGGTGGCCGGACTCTAGCAGGTAACCCAGTCCTACAGCAGCTCATCAGCAGAATTGACAGCAGGAGTTCCATTAGCTGAGAAAAACAACACTCTATCCATTCCCAATTACCGCGTTCGAATAGAACACGGGGGGGCGAAATCAAGCGGTATTCCATCTATAGAGCACAAGGGGAAAAGTAGGGATTTACTTAGGAGTGTAAACATGGACAATGCAAGCACTCTACACTACAAGAACACTAGATTACACCAAGATTGAAGTAGTGAATCACTCCCAAGTGAAGAATCAAATGAAACATGGAGAGAAAGTGAGAAATCAACACATTTGAGTTTATACACACAAGGGGAAAAGTAGCGATTCTCATAGGAGTGGAAAAATTGACAATGCAAGCATTCTACGCTATAGAAACACTAGATTACACCAAGATTGAAGTAGCGAATTATTCCCAAGTGAAGAATCAAGTGAAACATGGAGAGCAAGTGAGAAATCAACACATTTGAGTTCACACACACAAGGGGAAAAACAGCGATTTACATAGAAGTGGAAAAATGGACAATGCAAGCACTCTACATTACACAAACACTAGATTATACTAGGATTGAAGTAGCGAATTACTCCCAAGTGAAGAGTCAAGTGAAACATGGAGAGAAAGTGAGAAAACAACACATTTGAGCTCACACACACAAGGGGAAAAGTAGCGATTTACATAGGAGTGGAAAAATGGACAATGGAGAGCTTATTAGTAGCCAAAGAGTCCCCTACTAGCTATCCTCATACTTGGAAGACATCCATGGAGGATGAGGAGAAAGAAGGAAGGAGGGAGGAAGAAGTAGAAGAAGAAGACGATGAGAGGAAGAAGAATGAGAGGGAAAGGAAAAAGATGAAGAAGAAGAATATGAAGAAGAGGAAAAGGAAGGAAAAGAAGAGGAAGAGGAGGAAGAAGAATTTCTCCACTCACCTCTTCTTAGTCTTGAGGCTGATATCCCAACTTTTGATGAAGCTTCTCCCCACTTGGCTATGGCTTGCTTCCCCTCCAAGCCCTTCTCCTTCCTTGCTCTCCTCCTCCCAAGTTGCCACAAGCTCCTATCAGTATGGCTATGGAGTCCTCCCCTCTAGGAGGGCTAACGGGACTCCTCTTAGCCTTGCGTTCTTCCTCACTAGCTTGGGAGCTTTGGCGGATCGCCTTCCCCGCTACCACTAGCCTGTAGGGTCCCACACACTAGCTCATAGTCTCACTTACACTCCCAAACTGGCAGGGGTTCCCCTCACTTCACTCCAAGTGAGTGTAGAGCTCTCATGGGCTCATTCGGGCAGCATGGGCACTCCTCATGCAAATGTGAATGTGGCGGCCTGAATCTTCAGCTTATGTAGGCAAGGAAGAGCAGTCCGGCCAGCCCATGGGCCTCCCCATGTGCCCCATAGTGAATCGAGGTACCCGCATGGCCAATTTTCACCATTAGGTCTCTCCTGGGGCACATGGGCCTCATTTTGGCCAGGTACATGCAGTCCGAGTGGTTGGTACCAACTCGGCCTGCCCCTTGGGCCTTTTTCCAGCCTCTTACCACTTGCAAAATGTTGCCCCCTTGAGTCCAAGGTCCAAGGGGTAGCCTACTTGACATAAAAAGGCCTAGTGGGCCTTTTGCTTGATTTTTTCAAGCTTCGGCCTCCCTTGGGTAGGCCGGAGCATTTTTCCATGTGGCAGCACATTTTCAGCCTTGGATGAGGCTGAGATCCAAGGCCACCATTATTCCGAGCTACCCCATGGTGGTCCTTGCTTCAAATTTAAGCCCCTAAGTTCAATTTTTCAATTTTTGGTGCATCTGGCTCTCTTTTTGGGCCAAATGCGTTGTTTTCTGTCTTTTTCCCTCTTTTGTTTTCTTTCCATTTTCTGCTGCCACCTCATTCCGGAATTAGCCGTTTTGAGCTGGCCCCCAAAAAACGGCTGTTTCGTCTCCACTATGAGATCTGATATCAGATCCATGGTTGAAAAGAAAATTGACCATTCCTTTTTTGCATTTTCTCTCATTTTTGCCTTTTTAATTAAGATATTGTTGAGATATGGCCCCAAGGGCCATATCTCATTAATCCGGATTGCCCTCCGTCAGTCTAGGAGGGGTGAGGTCATCATTGGGACCTGCCAGTCCCTACTGCAGCAGGCCCAATAGGCCGGTATATTTTCCTCCACCTATTTCTCCCGTTTTGTCTCATTCTCCCTTCATTTTCTCTCCTTTTTCTTTTCCTTTTCTTTTATTTTTGTTGTGATAAGTGTCAAATGGTTGTGCATTCTCTTTCTAGGTCTTAGAACCTCATTCATGGCCAGGTTCATGGCCGACTGTTAGCTGTTACATCTCGTCCTACCAAATTGGCATGCCCATGCCCCTAGAGGGCTCAATTTGTCCCCGTTAGTCTCAATTTTGTGGCCCCTTGGCTCCAATTGGAGCCCCTTGGGCTCTTAATTTCTCATGCCTAGCTAGTCCGAGATATCTCGGACTGCTGGGCAGCCTTCCCATCACCCATTTTTCTTTGTTTTTCATTCTCGATCCTCCCGTTTGGGCTCCACTAGTGCTTGCACTAGTGGTGCTAATATTTCCCACCGTGAAGATCCTCGATTTTGACGGCGCCGTTGGCCGCACATACCCGCTTCCTACATCGGCTTGTAGTTCTCCTTGGGACACCTCAAGTTTCCGCCGCTTTTCCGCGCTAGTCCCATTTTGTCCCGCCAGCGATGCCGTCGACAATCTCGATTTTCGACAATTTTTATTTGGGCCCATTTAGTCCCCGGCATCCTCCCCGACATCCTCCCGCCAGCGATGCCATCGACAATCTCGATTTTCGACAATTTTTATTTGGGACTTCCCATGTCCCCGGCAGCCCCATCTTATTGTTCCCATGTGCCTCAAGCGTGCCGATTATTTGCGGCCGGGAGACGGGCCCTGCAGGCCCGTGTGGCTACGCAGTATGCCACACACACCCCTCCTTGAAAGATCGAGCTTACCTGCGAGGGCGAAGCCGTCTGTCTGAGGGAGGGACCACAGTCCGGGTGGGAGGGGCAGGTCGTGAAGGTCCCTTAGCTAACCTTTATCGCTTGTAGTGAGCGTAGATCAGCGGTGCGGATGCTTTCAAATCTGTTCCTGAAATCCACCGAGTGTCGTCGGGATCGCATGCTCTGAATGTAACTTTGTACTGTCGAGGCTTGTTGTCGTACTTGCGATCCGTGATGACGCGGTCAACATCCTGATGACCATCCATAGATGGAGGGTTCTGCGATCGTCGGCCTGGGAAGTCGGCGCTCTTAGTTGGTGTATATGTTGCCAGCTTCGAGGCGTGAAAGACTGGATGGACCATCAGATACGTCGGGATGTTGATCACAAATGAAGGGTCATCGGGCTCATCGCGCGCGGCTGATGTTACGGGCCATGGTCCAAACCACTTGGGAAGCAGTTTGCGTGAAACATCCTGTTCCAGTGCAAACCCTTCCGCGGAGACCCAAACCAGATCACCGGCGCGGATAGAACATGGCACGCGACGCCTGTTGGCTTGCTGCTGCATGCGGACTTGAGCCTTTTGCATGTTCGCGCGGGCAGGAGCCAGCAATTCCCTGTACTTTCGGACGGAAGCGGGAGAGCAAGCGGCGTCGATGTCGGCTGGTCGTGGGAGGAGAAGGTCGACGAAGAGACGACCTTTCCGTCCACCGTGGTGCAACTCGAATGGAGTCACGCTGATCGTCGGGTGCACCGAAGTGTTGTAGGCGAACTCGATGTCGGGAAGGCGGTCAACCCAATCTTTCTGGCCCAGACGGATGAGCGTACGAAGCATCATTTGAGCAGTTTGATGTGCCCGCTCCGTGTGCCCGTCCGTCTGTGGATGCCGAGCCAAACTTGGTTTCATTTGTGCCGGACTCCTGCATGAGAGCAGTAAAAAATGCCGACATGAAGCGAGTGTCGCGGTCGCTGACTACGTCTTCCGGTACACCGTGGCCACAAATCCAACCGGTACGCAAGAGGCGTGCCAGCTCGGGAGCCGTGGAGTAGTACTTGCAAGGGAGAAAATGCGCATACTTACTCAAACGGTCCACAACCGTGAGGATGCCGTCGTGCCCGAGGCGATCGCGAGGAAATGGTCCGGTGACATCCATGGCAATGGAGAGGTCGGGTTCCCGTGGGATAGGCATCGAGCGCAACTCGCAGTAGGGGTTGCGATTGCGGGGCTTGCTTCGTCGGCAAACTTCGCAAGAGTCGCATTACCGAGTGACATCGGTAATGAGGTCGGGCCATCGAAATGGTTGTCGAAGCCGTGCAATGGTGCGGTTGACTCCGAAATGGCCGGCGAGTCACGAGTCATGATACTCACCGAGAAGGCGAGTCCGAAGACGACGGTCGCGTGGGACACACAATAAGTCCTTGCCTCTCGAGTGGAGGAGCAAGCAGCAATGCGATAGTGGCTGGTCGGCGGGTGATCCGAAGATAGTTGCGCATACAACGTGGCGAAGTCCGGATCCGACTCATATCCCCGGATGAAGTGTCGCTGAAGTTCCTCGTTGAATGCGAAGGCATGATGTGTCATAGCGCAAAGATCAGGTCTTCGCGAGAGTGCATCCATTTTGTAGTAAGTGAGTGGGTTGTTGTCCGTAACCCATGTGAACCTACGATGCCAAAGGAGGAAGTGCCGCCATCACTTGAGAGCCGTCCCGAACGCGAGCAACTCCTTCTTCCTTGCATCATCAAGCGAGTTGATGGGAGGCACTTTGTGGCTGAAATACTCCACAGGGTGCCAGTCGTCGCCGTCGTGTTGTTCCAAGACTGCCCCAATGCCATAGCCGGAAGCGTCAGTTGTTACTTTCGTAGGTAGGGTGCGGTCATAGATGCTAAGGACGAGTGCCATGAGCATGGGCGTCTTAAGTGCTTGGAATGACGGCGTGCGTCGTCATCGAATACGAACGACACCTTTGGCGATTTTAATCTCGTCATAGGTGCAACAATCCTTGAGTATCCGGTGATGAATTGCTGATAGTAGCCCGCCAACCCCATGAATGAACGAATGTCCGTGGTGTTGGTGGCCTCGGGCCTTACGCGGAGGGCCTCGATCTTATCCGCAAGCGGACGGATGCCTTGCGGTGTCACATAATGTCCCACGTACTCCAGCTCCTGCCGCGCGAATTCGCATTTGTAGCGGTTGGCTTTGTACTTGGCTTGTCGTAGTTGTTCCAAAACGGTGCGCAGGTGTTCCACATGCTCATCCAAACTCCGATTGTACACCAGGATGTCGTCAAGGTAGATAAGTGCGAATCGATCCAGCATGTGTTGGAACTCCGTTGTCATAGCCGCTTGGAAAGTGGCCGGGGCATTCGTAAGGCCAAATGGCATAACCAGCCATTCGAAATGCCCATATCGCGTCTTAAACGCGGTCTGGTAGCGGTCCTCCTTCCGAATCTCGAGCTGGTGATATCCCGACTTGAGGTCCAGCTTGGAGAAGAACTTGGCTCCCCCCAGTCGTTCGAGAAGGTCGCCGATGCGTGGGAGAGGGCCGACGTTTCTGATCGTTTGCGCGTTGAGCTTGCGATAATCGATGCACAACCACAAATCCTTGTTCTTGTTCCGGACGAAGAGAACAGGAGCACCGTATGGCGATGAGCTAGGCCGAATCCAGCCTTTCTCCAGAAGGTCGCCGAGTTGTGCCCGAAGCACACTTAACGATACTCATTCGGTAGATGCAACCGCGTGGAGGTATGACCCCGTCCTCGAGGATGATCTCGTGGCGGATGGGCCGATACGGTACTACTCCGTACGGGCCTTCGAACACGTCGCCGTAGGCGTCGAGAAGCTTGGTGATGCGTGGGTTCGAAGATGAGTCCGTCGATGAAGCGTCATGGGGCGGGAGGGCGTGGAGAAAACACACCCCCATCTCCTCGATGTCGTTTCTGATGATGGAAGCTCGCATGCTTGTGCGGACACCACGTGACAGCTGATTGAAGGGTGAGGAGGAGCTAACGTGCATGGGACTAGTACTCCGTTCCGATCACGTACGTGAACGGTGCGGCGGTCGGAGTTCACCGGGTGATCCTTGCTTCGCAGCCATGACATTCCAAAGATCATGGCGAATTTGGTGTCCAAAATATCGAAGGACACCGCCTCGCTCGCGTGCGGGGCAAAGTACACGGGGACGTCATCAATGCACCATTCTATTGACTTGTGCGTGTGATCGTCCACCAACATGACCTGCGTCGACTGGGACTTCCTCCGGACGCGTGGGCTAAGGCCGGTGCGTACCATAAAGTCCTGGCTCATGTAGTTGCGAGATGCTCCGCAATCTATCAAACCGCTGCAGGTCGCCTCTTCGATCTGAATGCGTACATATAACAATGGTGCGTCGATGTCGTCGTACCGTTGCGTCTTGAACTCGGTTGATCTTCACAATGTAGGCGTGAAGGTCGACAACCTCTACTCCGGCGTCCATCAACGGGGTTGGTACTGCAGTGTGCATGTAATCCCGCAATTGTGTCATGAGCACGTTGCAATGCGGTTTCGGCAATCGACCGGACCGGGGAAGGGGCATCTATTGGAAATCCGCAAATGTCAACGGGTCGAGCTCTTCAAGTTTTGACCATGACGTTGAATCCCCGGCGGTAGATGGCGGCGAAGTTGCCGAATCGATTGTCGATGGTGATGAAACCGTGCATGCGGTAGATTGTTGCACGTGGAGCGGTTGGTCCAGCGGTGGACCAAGTGGACAGCATAGTCCTCGTAAGCATACCGAGAACTTACGACATTCGCATCCTCCCCAGATGTGTAGGAGGCCGTTAGCAAGGCGGCCGAATCTGGCGGAGTGGGAGGTGGAGTCGCCTCACCTCCCTTGGAACTCAGTTTCCCGAGTTGATACGAGGCCAAACATCCTCCTTGCCCTGATCCTGGCAGAGGGAGGTCTTGTGCTTGGTGCTATTGCACCAATAGCAGCAGCTGTAGTGGCCACGGTACTTGTACTCGGCCTCGGTCAAGTGAAACTTGACCCATGGTGCTGGCTGTCCGTTTTCGGCCGGCGATGCGGTTTTTGCCTTTCCGTTTCCTCGGGACTTGTTGTTGCTTCGCTGCTGGACAGCAGCCACCTGATCTCCCTCACGTGACGCTTGGGTGGTTGCCGAGTCTTCCACAATGTTGTCCGATTGGACTGCAGCGAACTGCTGCGGTCGCGGACCAGTTTTCACCCTCTCCAAATTGGTTGGCTGCCACGTTGACTTCTCGTGTGCAGCCGCCCTGTTGGTCTTGATGATCTCTCTCGCCTTGTCAATGACTTCAGCGAAGGTTGTATATTGCTCGCGATCACCAAGTGCAAGGCTCAATGCAGCAACTCGCGGCGCAGATGCGAAAATGGCAAGTCGAGACCGGGCGTTGCCGCGATCTTTTGCCATTCCGTGAGCCAGTCACGTGTTGTTACGTTGCCTTTCGTCATGCCGAAGAGACGGTTGATGACGAGTGCAGGTGCGTCGTCCACGGTGAACCGTTTCTTCAATAGCCGTGTTAACTCTTCCCATGACATCTTGTCTTTCAGATCTGCGACGTCGACGCCGTGGGTGGATGCAAGGTGGCTTAATCAGGTCTGGCATCCGCCCTTTGAGTTGAGAAACAGGGCTCCGATGAACGCGCGCTTGGCGACGAATAGAATCCGCAGTTGCGTCGTAAAGCCTTCCCACCAGAGGACGGGGTCTTGATGCGTGTAGTCATCGAACTTCTCATTTTGGAATGTCGGCATCTTATAATGCGTTGTGTTGTTGCCATCCTTGTTAGGCAGCTGCAGTTGCTGAACCTCGGTCTTCAATGTATCCAGCTGTTTGCTGATGGTGGTTGGCGCAGCGAAGGTGCTGATGTTGCCAAGCATTGCGACGACGTGGTTGACGCGTTGCTCTAGTTGGCGGGCAGAGGGTGCATTGCTGGACTCACCAGCCTCCGGTCTTGGTGCAACTTAAGTCCTACATACGGGAATCAATTGCCCGTGCTGCATCCTCATGTTGAGCCTTGTGGTTCCGCATGGCCCGCTGCATATTCGCCAACTCGGACTGCAAGTGGTTACAAGTGTAAACCAACCGAGTCACGAGTTTGGCCATGAATTCCCTGTCGCGTCGCCGTGCCCTTCAAATGGTTCAAAGTGCCAATACTCGAGTATTTCGATGCTGGCAGCTTCATGCCGCTGGAGCAGATCCTAGGCTTCCTTTCGGCGTGCGTGGGTATCTGCATCTGATTTGGCCTGAAGCCGCTGCTTCTCAGTTGTTGCCGCTGCTTCAGCCTGTAGGCGGGCAGCCTCGGCTGCCAGCTGGCGTTGTTCCTCAGCCTCGATCAGTGCGAGCTGACTCTGGAACCGCTGTTTGTAGTGAGCAATAGACTCGTTGGCCAGTTGGCCTGGCATGCCCAGAGTTGCGCCTGCCATGGTGGCGGGGCACTGCTGATGTGGCACTGTGACGTGGCACTGTTACTGCTGACGTGGCACTGTTGACGTGGCACTGTTGCTGACGTGGCAATGTTGACGTGGCAGTGTTGTTGACGTGGCACTGTTGCTGACGTCAACAACATGTGCGTGATAAGCTATAGTCAAGTTTGTGATACTCTCTTCAGTTGGTGATAAGCTATAATTAGACCATCCAATCTTATGAAGACATGTTTGACTACCCTATTCATAGGTAAAAAGTAATATAAAATATAGATAAGTTTACCCTTCTGGTTCCAGCATGTGCGTGGCTCCAGACCAGACCTCCCAATCTTATGGGAACCTGCCCAGTCATTCACTTGATCTTCCCTCAGAATAAACAAGAAGGAACTAATAAACATCAACAAACCCAAATGAAACAAGGCAACCAAGCCATCCAATTTTATGAAAACCTGCTTGGTCCCTGAAAAAGCAATCACAAGCAGCCCTCGCAAATCAGAGGCAACCAGACCATCCAACCTTATGGAAACGTGTCTGGTCCACGCCTGGTCAATGCCCTTGCTCAACTCGTTCCAGCTGGGTATCGTTCGTCTTACGGCGAGTGGGTGCCGTTCGTCTTCTCGTTCCAGTTGGGTCGACGCTCCGGCCAACGGTCTTGGTCATCTCGCCGGTCAATGCCTGGTCAATGCCCTTGGTAAACTCTCGATCAACATTGGTTAGCTCCCCTGGTCAACCCTTCGACCTTCCGGCTATGGAGGATTTTCTTCTTCATCTAGCCCTCCGTTTTCTTTCCCCTGGCTATGGTCGACTTTATCTCCTTCGTTAACTTCCGTTATCCCTTCTCTTTGGGTCTTGCTTCGCTTCTTCCTGTTAGTCGTCTTCTTCCTCGAGCTTGGCATCTCTCTCTCTCTCTCTCTCTCTCTCTCTCTCTCTCTCTCTGCTTGACTCCGACTATGTCTGCTGCTTTCTTCTTGCTGCTGCTCCGACGTGGACAACAGGAACCAGCTTCGATACCAATGCAATCAGACTCGGCTTCAGACTTGCTTACAACATGCATGCACACGAACTGATGACAAAACCGAACTCTTTCAACTCAGGGTCAACAATGAACTTGTATTAAAACTCGGTTCAAGTCATATGTACAACTTGTGGCTATGGCTTACGATCACTGTCTCCACCACCAGCAACACTCTCCCTCGTTCACACATGTACGAGGATCACCCTGAATGTCCATGCTACATAGACACACACACTCTGCACACTCTGTCTGCACCAACAGTTGGGCGGCTATGGCCGACGTAGTCTTCCTCCTCCTAGCTATGACCGTCGTCATCTTCCTCACTGGGCAGCTATGGCCGCTGTCTTCCTCACTGCACACTTCCTCTCCGGACACCTGCTGACCTCCATGCACAAGATACCAAGGTGCAATGACTTGCTGATTTCTGTTGTCGAGGCTAACTGTGAGGCTGTACGGCTAGTTTCACAATTTTGTTTGGCTGAGGGCTAACCGAGAGACCTGCCTGTAAGGAAATTCGTGAGGGACAGATCTGCAAATCTGGGAAAATACAGGCCCGGTACTNTTGTTTGGCTGAGGGCTAACCGAGAGACCTGCCTGTAAGGAAATTCGTGAGGGACAGATCTGCAAATCTGGGAAAATACAGGCCCGGTACTAACCCGAATTCCTACCGCTACCCTAACTGCCCACAGCAGGCCCGGGCTACCCCTAGGATAGACAGGTCCTAAGTGGCCTACGCTGCTAGACGGTCCTATAGCCTATAGTCGGGTCCGGTAGAGGCCGAGAGGCCGAAACAGCAACGGTACCGGTCGGTCAGTCAGTCCGGTCTAGGTCTAGGGTAGAGTAGTGAATCTATAAATATTTGAGGAAAATCAGTTCAGGACTTTTGGCTTTTCATTTTCTCATTGCAGCGTTCGTGGCCAACGAAGTACTGCAGCGCTTAGAGTCTACAGCGGACCTGAGACTTCAGCTTACGTGAGGCAGCCATAGCCGGCCTTCCTGAGACAGCCGAAGCTGGGGCTGGTCTCAGCACATCTACCCTCTGGGGGTATCTGCGCTTGGCAGGGTCTTCGTCAGAGTGACTCATCGGCACTGAGGACTACATCGCTGTTCATGATCTTCATCTGGGTGTATGGCGCTGGCCTCTGGGAGGCTGTGTCAGTGCAGCGCTAGACTCTGAGAGTGGAGTAGTGGGTGGAGTGTGTGGTTCTGGGGTGGCGAGACACTGGGTTGAACTCCGTAACGATAATTGAGGTTAACTGAGTTGAGTTGGCTCATCATCTGTGTTATATTCCGATTGTGATCTTCACAGTGTCATCTTGTGATTGGTTGTTGGGAGTTTGTGAGAGAGAGGGAAACACTGTGTGTATTCTCCCCATCTGTGCATGGTTGCTATTCCGCTGCTTATCTCTGGTCTGTGTACAGTTTGGACTCTGTCTCTCCTCCCCTTTGTCTTGTGCATGTATGGGCATGCGTGAGATACTTTGTGTGAGTGGTGAGAAAAATTGTCAGACAACCAAGTTCATAACAGTTGGTATCAGAGCGGAGATTGGACTAAGGGCACTGAGGGTTAAGCGCAACAGATGCACCTGCTCCTTCTGGCTCTATTTGGCGAGAAGCTCCGTGTTGAAGCTTCATCTTCAGGGAAGATACAGAGAGGGGAGTAGGTATACAAGCGGTGAATTATGAGATTCAGTGTGTGATTGATCAGGCACCCTGAGCCTGTCTGAGTGCCTGACAGGATTTGGCGAGAACAGGGGTATTTCGCCATTCACTCTTCTGAGCTCAGTTCATGACTGAGTCCAGGGTGGCAAATTACACCCTAATCCAGTGATACCTGGGTGGCGGCATCAAACCCAGTATAGCCTTGGGGGAGAATTGATCACAGGATCAGTCTCCTGCTGGATTAGTCCTAATCAGGGCTAAATTTAGCCCCAGCGGCTTACCTCGGCAGTGGCGAGATATCTTCAGGAGAATTCTCTAGTGCCACTGGGCCAGATTCAGTGAATCTGAGAGTTGGGGTTGAAGCGCCACAAGGTACTGAGCAAGACCAATAAGTTTCAGGAGATTCTATACGTGGAAATCAGTGGAGGAGTGTCTGCATGAAAGTGGCGAGATCCGGGTTTTGTCAGCCATAGCCAGAACTTCATCATCCACCGAGGTAAACATGTAAGTGAGTGTGTTCTGTGTGAATCCCTGAGTAGCCATAGCCATCTTCTTCCTCCCTACCCTGACCCATATCTCACCATCTATTGACCTGTTCTGACTCAAAATTGTTCTGGGAGTGTATGATCATTCTGTGAGTTTTGTACAACAAAAGTTGTAATATTGTGAATCATGGTTTTGCTCTGAGTCTATTTTTAGTCTGTGCTATCTAGGGTCAGTCAAAACTCAGATTCTTTCCGTCAGAATTTAAGTCTGTCAGTCTGGGGTGAATCGCAATTCAGTATTTGACATCTCTGTCAAACCGCTAATCCAGAATCAATGTATTTGAGTTATTACAGTGGAATCCTGAAAATCGTTGTATCAGTGAGTGTTTCTGTTGATGTCAGCAGTGGCAATTTGAGTTATTACAGTGGAATCCTGAAAATCGTTGTATCAGTGAGTGTTTCTGTTGATGTCAGCAGTGGCAAAATTTGAGTTTAGGGCTATCAGGTGCATCGCTACTATTTGTTGCCCTGTTCTAGTTAGTTCTTGCCTGTATCTATCTCCACCACTAATCATCTTTGTTTTCTGATGGGCTCTGGAATGTTAGTGACCTTTGGAATATACTGGAAGTGGTTGTTTCAACTTCAGTGAAGGTTCATTGTCAGGTAAAGGAAATCGTTAGTGAATGATTTTACTGGACTTACAGTCAGTCTGGTTACTGACCCCAGTGGTTGTATTCTAACCCTAACCGCTTGTGCCTACTAACCCACCTTACCCTGTGAATTGGTAGTGCAGCGATTTCTGAGTATCTGAGTGGACTGTAAATCGCTGCATCCTTTGCTGTCCAACACTGCTAATTATTGTTTCTGAAAGGGAAGATGTCTGACGCTGCGAAGTCGGGCGAGGGGCAGGTAGAAGTTGTGGTCAAGGAGGAAGGGAAACCTTCCCCCTCTACTACTTTTCCTGCTCCTCTCACCCCGGCTCAGCGGCGCAAGAGGGGAATTGAGGCCAAACTGCGAGAGCAACAAGCGCTACTCGCAGAAGCTGAGAGACAGGAGTTTCTGCTGCAGCAGTTGAGTTGGAGGCTGCAACAAATGCCTCCCGCAAGGAGTTTCTGCTGCAGCAAGCAGAGAAGACTGCGGCAGATGAGAGGGTGGCCCAGTGCACCACATACCTGGCTGAGCTGGTGCTCTTTCAAAACAAGATCACAGCCAGCCACTTTACTAACTGGGATGACCGGATTCAGTGTCTGGAGACCAAAGTAGGCGACCTGGCGACTCAGCAGTCCAAGATCCTGGACGCTATCCAGAATCTGACTGCTCAGTTGACAGCAGCCCGCCTGATTGCACCTGCGGTACCATCCCCTGCCTCTACCAAACCTAAACAGTCTTCCCCTAATTCTTCACCTCCTCCTTCTCCTCATAGTTCCCACCAGTCATCTCCCTCGACCTCCTCCCAGGCTAAAGTCAAGCCTCCTCTCACCTTTGCTGCGGTTGTTGCTGGGGATCTGCGAGGACCCAAGATCCCTGCACCCAGCAAGTTTAGGGGCGATGACCCCAAAACTGATGTTGGGGACTGGGCAGCAGGAACCCGGGCCTACCTGAAGGGTTTCGTGTGCCCAGAACAACAGAAGGTGGCCACCGTTGTGGGGCTGCTGGAGGGCCCAGCCCAGAAATGGGTTACGTCCACAGCCAGCGCCCAGCAGCAGACTTTGGAGGATTGGGCCTCAGCACTGGGAGTGGGGCCACTTCTGCAGGCCCTGGAGGACAGGTTTGCAGACAAGGAGCGTGCACGTAAGGCTGTTGACAAGATCGTACGCCTTGGGCAGCAGCGGTACAGCGGCAGTCTGCGGGCCCTTTTGCTGAATTTGAGCAGTTAACCTCCACCCCTGGTTTGGTTATGTCCAGTGATGATTCGCCGACTAACTTCTGCAGGGCTGCGCCTGAGAAGTTTTCTGTTGCCTTATACAGCGCAGGGCATAAAGACTGGAGGTCTTTTGGACACGCAGCGCTGGACATGGAGGCCTAGCTCCATGTCCAGGCCCCCTCCAGTGACAGGAGGAAAGGCGCCTTCCCTCGCGGTGGTAGAAAGGGAAAGGCGGCCTTTGCATATGCGGGCTCTGGGTCCAGGATCCCAGCCTGGTACACCGCAAGATGGGACTGGTTCAGCTGCTGGCCCAGATGTTGCAGCAGTCATTCAGCAGCTGCAGGCTGCGCTGGGGGCCTTCCAAAAGGTCGGGTCTTCCTCCAGCACAGCCTCCAGCAGCAAGGGGAAGAGCCAGGGACGTCGCTCTTCAACCCCTGCCCGACGCCCCAACTTGCCACGTGACGTCCGATTCCCAACAGACCCCCTGAACCCCAACACTCTCCCTTGGCATGATCTGAAAATCCAGGAGGGTGTGTGGAGGAAGAGGAAGGAAAGGGGTGTCTATTTGGGGTGTGAGGGGCAGCACTTTCTCAAGGACTGTCCCTACATGCCCATCCCAGCTCAGTCAAAAAACTGAAGCTGACCCTGAAGACTGCAGTTCCCTCCAATGCTACACCTGCACCTGCATCTGCCAGCGTGGGGACTGCGCGGGCAGCATCCTTCTGCTATGAGGATCCTGACCCGGATGAGGAACCGGATCAGTCGGAGTGTCAGTCACTTGCTGCTTTCTTCTTTCACCTGAAAGAACAAAAGAGAAGCAAGTCTGATCTCATACTCCTTCGGCCCCTGATCAACAACATCATAATCAAGGGGTTATTAGACTGTGGAGCCACCCGCAATGTCATGTCTCCCAGTGCAGTTAAAAAGCTGCATCTGGGCATGAAGGTGGTGCAGCTCCAGCAACCGCTGCAGGTCAGGATAGGTGACTCCACTGTTCTAACTATCAGGGAGAAGGTCAGGGGCATACCTGTGACCTTCGATAGTGCTGGAGAAGTCAGACATAGTCTGAACTTCTACATATTCCCTGATCTACCCTTTGATCTGGTTTTCTCTATGCAGTGGCTGAAAGCAGTCAACCCAAGGATCGACAGGCAGATTCCCAGGGTTGAGCTGCCTGACAGCAAGGGGGTGTATCAACCATGCATGATTGCTGCTGAACACCACCGTAAGACTTCGTGCTTCTGCCTGAGAGCAAGGGAGTTCTATGCTCTCTCACGCCAGTACCACCATGAGCGTCTGTTTATTGCTTTGGTCAAGCAATCAGATGCTCCCCCTGTTTCATGTCCTCCTGAGATACAGCAGGTGGTTGACCAGTATGCTGATCTGATGCAGGAGCCCTTTGGATTACCCAACCGGCCAACCAAGCATCATATTGAGCTGCTACCTGGAGCGGTCCCTCCCAAGGGCCGCATCTACAGGATGTCCCCTGCTGAGCTTGAGGAGCTTAGAAAGCAGCTTAAGACCTTGACCAGCAAAGGCTGGATTAGGCCCAGCACTTCTGAATTCGGCGCCCCAATCCTCTTTGTTCCAAAAGGGAGTGGCGAATTCAGAATGTGCATCGACTACAGGGGTCTCAATAAGATCACTAGGAAGAGTACAGAGCCCCTCCCTAGGATCGATGACCTTCTGGATACGGTCCAAGGATGCACTATCTTCAGCAAAGTCGATCTCAAATCGGGCTATCACCAGATTGAGATGGCAGAGGAGGATGCCCACAAGACAGCCTTCAAAACCATATATGGCACATATGAGTATCTGGTTATGCCATTTGGACTCTGCAATGCACCTGGCACGTTCCAGACAGAGATGCACCGCATCTTCAGGCCTTACCTGGACAAGTTAATGGTCGTCTACCTGGATGATATCCCGGTATTCAGTCGGACTGCCAGGGACCATGCGGAGCATTTGGCTCTTGTTCTTCAGTCATTACGTGACAGCCAGTACAAGATCAACAGGGAGAAGTCCTCGTTTGGAGTTCCCTCTGTCATCTACCTGGGCCACGTAATCTCTGGAGATGGTCTGGCTCTTGAAGCAGCTAAGATTGCTGCTATTTAGGAGTGGCCACAACCACAGGCAATGAGAGATGTTCGGTCTTTCTTGGGTCTGGCCTCCTACTACAGAAAGTTCGTCAGGAACTTTTCTGCAGTGGCTGCACCCCTGACTAACCTCACAAAGAAGACACTCCCTTTCTTTGGTCCCTTCACTGTCAGATGGCCTTTGCACGAGTCAAATAGGCCTTGACTCGTGCCCCTGTTCTGAAGTTACCTGACCCCACCTTGCCATTTGTCCTAACCACTGACGCCAGTCAGTATGGCATTGGGGCAGTACTTCAGCAGGATGATGGGAATGGTCTGAGACCTGTCGAGTTTACGAGTAAGAAGATCAAGACTCAGAAGCTTCAGGACTCTACCTACGAGAAAGAGCTATATGCTCTTCTCAGTGCCCTGAAACATTGGAAGCACTTTCTCCTGGGAAGACACTTCAAGATCTTCTCTGATCATTCCACTTTACAGTGGTTGAAGACCCAGGGAGAGTTAAACGATAAGTTGGCACGTTACATTCAGTTCATCGACATGTTTTATTTTGAACTGATGCACAAGAAGGGTTGCTACAATAAGGTAGCTGACGCCCTCTCTCGTAGGCCTGATTCTTTTGCACTGATCTCCTCTACTCACTCCTTTGGAGAGGAGGTCCGTCAGACCATCACTCGTCTGCTGCCTCGCGATCCGACTTATGGACCCATCGTCAGGAATCTGCAAGCAGATCCCAATTCTTAACCTGGCTATGCCATGAGTTCAGATCTGCTGTACACTTACAGCAGAGGGGAGGAGCGCTTATGCATTCCTGAGGATCAGCAGCTCATGACACTGCTGATGTCAGAGTGCCATGATGCGCGTGGTCACTTTGGGTTCTTAAAGTCGTATGCAGCCCTGTCGCAGCGCTTCTTCTGGAAGGAGATGCGGAGTGATATGCTGCGCTATGTGGATACCTGTGAGCTCTGCCAAAGGAACAAGGTTCAACGGAAACCTCCTTTGGGACTGCTCAAACCCCTACCCATACCTGATGGTCCTGCTCAGTCTGTGTCTATTGACTTTACAGACTTAGGCAAGACCACCCCTCGGGGCATGCGTCAGGTCATGGTCTGCGTGGACAGGTTCTCCAAATATGCAGAGTTCCTCTTGCCAAAGGTAGCTAGAGTCCCGGCTGTGAGAACAACCTTTTTTGAGAGATGGGTCACTCACCATGGACCGCCCACCTCTATTGTCAGCGATCAAGATCCACGTTTCTGCAGCGATGAGTGGCAGTCCTATTGTAAGGACTACTTACACTCTCGTCTGGACATGACTTCTGGTCGTCATCCTGAAGCCAATGGTCAGGCTGAAGTGATGAACCAAGTCCTGTCCCAGCTGTTGCGTCCTGTTATCTCCCCAGATCAACAGGACTGGGATCTCCACCTTGCGAGGGCACAGCTCATGTATAACATGTCTGTCCACTCCTCGACCGGGTTCAGTCTTTACATTGGGGACGTGAACCACGTCAGCCTCTCGATGATATCATCGATAAGGCGAAGACAGATCTGACACCTGGCACAACAGAGTTTGCCAGACGCTATCGTCTGGATGTGGAAAGAGCCCGCGCGAACTTGTTCAGGGCCCAAAAGGCCATGATTGAACAAGCCAATCGCCACAGGCGGCCTTCCCCCATCCGCACTGGTGATCATGTCTGGGTGGTCAGTTCCGAGCTGTCGAGGGAGAAGGATATCTCCCCCAAGTTGTTGCCACGCTACTTGGGTCCATGGCATGTCCTAGATACAGTGGGCGCTGATCCCTTCGGTCCGTCGTATGTTATCGACGTCCCGCTGCATCTACGTACCTATCCGGTCTTCCATGCATCTAAGTTGCTTCCTTTCACTCCAGCTGATGCATTTCCTGACCGGCCCCCTCAATTCGGTCCACCAATCCCAGGTAAGGGACATGACATTGACCGGATTGAGGATGAGTGGGGCTCAGGCCCCGATCGGCAGTATCTCGTCAGGTTTGCGTTTCAGCCACCTTCTGAGAACCACTGGTTCTACAAGAAGGACCTGATCAAGACAGCAAAGTCTATTGTTCTGCGGTATGAAGCGGCTCAGAAGGGTAACCTTCGCCGTTCACCCCGCTTGCACCCCTAGCTCGGAGGTCCTCGCTCCCGGGGAGGGTAAGCCTGCAATGACTTGCTGATTTTTGCTGCCGAGGCTAACTGTGAGGCTGTACACTAATCGGTAGGCTAGTTTCGCAATTTTGTTTGGCTGAGGGCTAACCGAGAGACCTGCCTGCAAGGAAATTCGTGAGGGACAGATCTGCAAATCCGGGAAAATACAGGCCCGATACTAACCCGAATTCCTACCGCTACCCTAAGTGCCCACAGCAGGCCCGGGCTACCCTAGGACAGACAGGCCCTAAGTGGCCTACGCTGCTAGACGGTCCTATAGCCTATAGTCGGGTCCGGTAGAGGCCGAGAGGCCGAAACAGCAACGGTTCCGGTCGGTTAGTCAGTCCGGTCTAGGTCTAGGGTAGAGTAGTGAATCTATAAGTAGTCGAGGAAAATCGGTTCAGGACTTTTGGCTTTTCATTTTCGCATTGCAGCATTCGTGGCCAACGAAGTATTGCAGCGCTGAGAGTCTACTGCGGACCTGAGACTTCAGCTTACGTGAGGCAGCCATAGTCGGCCTTCCTGAGACAGCCGGAGTTGGGGCTGGTCTCAGCGCATCTACCCTCTGGGGGTATCTGCGCTTGGCAGGGCTATTCGGAGGCTCTTCGCTGGGCACATGTGGACGTTGCTGCTACGGTAGCAGCTCTGCAACCATAGCTGCCTTCTTCTTCGTCAGAGTGACTCATCGGCACTGAGGGCTACATCGCTGTTCATGATCTTCATCTGGGTGTATGGCGCTGGCCTCTGGGAGGCTGTTTCAGTGCAGCGCTAGACTCTGAGAGTGGAGTAGTGAGTGGAGTGTGTGGTTCTGGGGTGGCGAGACACTGGGTTGAACTCTGTAACGATAATTGAGGTTAACCGAGTTGAGTTGGCTCATCATCTGTGTTATATTCCAATTGTGATCTTCGCATTGTCATCTTGTGATTGGTTGTTGGGAGTTTGTCAGAGAGAGGGAAACACTCTGTGCATTCTCCCCATCTGTGCATGGTTGCTATTCCGCTGCTTATCTCTGGTCTGTGTACAGTTTGGACTCTGACTCTCCTCCCCTTTGTCTTGTGCATGTATGGGCATGTGTGAGATACTTTGTGTGTGAGTGGCGAGAAAAATTGTCAGACAACCAAGTTCATAACAAAGGCATCTCTTCTGCATGGCTCATAGGCGAATGAATGAATGGGTGGACGTTGCCCCTGTATTGATACTTCTTCAGAGGTACCCGGGCCTGCCGCAAAACGCATGGGCTAGGGTCAAAACGCGTGGCCCGGGGAAGCTTCCAAACGTTTGGCCTTCTGGGCCAAAACGGGTGGAACACTGGAACCCACTGCGTGGTCCAGAACCTTTCCCACGTGCAGCCCCTACCCCTGGTACTTGCTGACTGGACTGGCCTATAGGGACCTACGACCTTCTAGAGTGTACATACTTACAGATAGACTCTAGTGCTCAGTAGACTAACTATGGTCGCCGTTGTCTTTCTCACTGGCCAGTTATAGCCGTTGTCTTCCTCACTGCCAAGTTCCTCCCACGGCACCTGCAGACCTCCACGCACAAGATACCAAGGCAACTCTTCCGCAACGCTCACCGTTTTACTTTTGTGTGACTTGGGATAAACTGAACATTGTTTCCAAACCAAATGGTTAAGTCTCTTGTTTTATTCTGAGGGAGGATTTTTGCGAAGGGCAAAACATTGTTTCAAAGCCGAATGGTTTAGCTTGAAACCACACACTATGAGTATAATTGGAGATACTTCATCTATATTTGCATGTGAACAGACAATTGGACATTGTTTCCAAGCCGAATGGTTCAACTTAGCCATATCACTATGAAGAGAGAGAAAGTCAAGAGTATAATTGGAAGCAAGTTGGGCGAGTTTAGCATTGCTTCTAAATTTAATGGCTCAATCCCTTGCCAATATTTTAAGGACGAGAGTGTTACTAAATTTTGAATACTTAAAACAATTCAGGGCGACTAGGCATTGTTTCTAAGTTGAATGGTCTAGTCACATGCCCAAAAAAGAGAGTAGTAGTTGTGTGACCTGTTCGTGTATGATCTAAGACATGCTAGGCATTATTTCTAAGTTGAGTGGTATAGCACCATGCCATATGTAAGATGGGTAAAAGGGACAATTATCTTGAGGAGCAATGAATTATCTTGTGAGGAAACAACTTGGGATTCTGATGAGAGTACTTCCCCATTTTGGTATGGACTTGTTTGTGATTGAGTGTGAGTTGTACGTAGTCTGAGTATCAACTTTGATAGGTAGTTGCTTTTGGTGCTTTAATGTGCTGGAGCTATAGGACTTTGTATAAATTTTGGAAAGTCACTTTCGCTAGGGAAAGTGCTGCCCAAAGTGTTTGCAAAACCAAAGAGTTGGTCAAATTTTGACTTTTCAAAAACTTTTGTCTGAGTTTTATTTGGTTTATTATGAATTTAGAAAGCCTTTTTTTTTAAGGGAAGTGCTGCCAAAATTTTTCCTAAATCAGGGAGTTGAGCATAATTTGATTTTGTGAAGTCGAAATTATATTCAGATTTTGTATATAGCTTTGTATAATTTTTGGAATGACACTTTTCTAAGGGGAGTACTGTCGAAATTTTACAAATCTAAAGAGTTAAGTTTTGTCTTGATATGATTTTATCTCGAATTCGAATATGAATTGGTATATATCTGGAAAGCTTACTTCTCTAAAGGAGTTGCTATCTGATTTTTTGCTAAATCAGAAAGTTGAACAAAATTAGACTCTCTGGAGTGGAGGTTGGTTAAAAATTTTATATTCAGTTACGTGTAAATTTTGGAAAGGCACTTTCTCTAGAGGGAGTGCTGCCGAAATCTCCTTAGTTTCAAGGATTCAAACTATATTTTGACAAGGGAATTTTTGGCAATCCACCCCGTATAGGAGAGATCTTGCCAAAATTTTCCTTATTTTTTTAGCACCTATTGAAAGTTAAACTTAGAGTTGGCCTTAAGAGATTTTGAGCAAGATATGATATGACGGTTTATTTCATACTTGAAGCTTTGTTTAGGAATTGACCCGTGTTGTGTTACATGTCCTTTTTCGACCATTTGATTCAATATCTAATTAATTTAAGCCTGATTCGACAAGCATCATCTTCTGTTACTTGTCGATAAGAGGTCGGTTGCCGATTCGTTGGTTTACGACTCATCTCTAACTCGTTCTCATCACTTAACCTAAAGGCCTTAGCCCCTAGGTTGAATTGTTTCTTTCGGATTTTACTCTTTTGTTCAATAGCCATTTAAAAAGGTTATGAGTGTTTTATTTTGGAAGGTTGGACAAGGGTTGGGGTTTGTGTGGATAAGGCAAAGGGGTATGTGTGCAGAGAGTGGTTGAAGTTGACCCCGTGTAGTGCGTGGTTTGCCAATGTTGAACCCTTTATGTAATTGCAGGTATGTTTTGTGAAGGGAAGTCCAAATTTGACTTTGCCTGTGATCACAAGTTTATTTTAAAGGGAATCGCACTACGATTGTGAGAATGTTCGCCACGTGTTCCTGTAACCCTCTTTGTTTATATGTGATATATCCGCGCGAGGCAAAGGGGTATGAGTGCAAAGAGTGGTTGAAGTTAACCCCGTGTAGTGCGTGGTTTGCCGATGTTGAACCCTTTATGTAATTGCAGGTATGTTTTGTGAGGGGAAGTCCAAATTTGACTTTGCCTGCGATCATAAGTATATTTTAAAGGGAGTCACACTATGATTGTGAGAATGTTTGCCACGTGTTCCTGTAACCCTCTTTGTTTATATGTGATATATCCGTGCGGTCCACTATGACCGTGCGTGTTGGTCAAGTAGACAATATCGAGAGAAAAGGGTGAATTCCTTTGAAATATTTATGGTTGGATGTTAAGGTCCGAAGTAGCTGTCGAAGTCAAACCCCTTGACCTATTTTCAGACCTGCAAAGGTGGAACCCCACTTGCAGTGTTAGGGGTGTTCAGCGGCTACAAAGGGTCGAGGCCCGCCTACCGCTCATTTGTGCAGGGTGCAGAAGAAGGTAAGACTCACAACCGCCTTTGCGGTTGTTTAGCGTCGAGAGATTAACCCCTTGAGTCACGTGTAAGTCGACTCGAGTGTCGAAAGCGACCCTCGAGACCATGGAGGGCCCCATGATTATGGGTACTACATAGTACGCCATTATTGTGACTGTTTGCGCATTTATGCATAACTAATCGATATGACGAAGCCTGCGTCCTCGCTATATTTTTTTGAGTCGCACGTGTCATGCCAAATGTTTCCTGTGTTAGAAAGGTTATTGGTTGCGCGTTTGGGACATCGGCCCTTAAAGCGACGGTTCGGGTGCGGGTCCGATTGAGGTGTGGGACCGCGCGTACCCCCTATGCTACAGCGTACGAGAAACGCCCTTCGGCTGGGCCACCTCTGCGATTGCAACTAAGTACCTTTCGAGGGTGGTGACAACCCCTTGGGCAGAGGTAAGTTGTGCCTCGACGGACCTTTATCCTAACGTGGGGGTTCTCGAGAGGTATGGCTGGAGCATTCGGCCAAAGCGGTAAAAGCTGCATTGCAAAAAAGTCTTGCAAAAATCCTGCCTGACGAGGTCGGGAGGGTCCCCTTGCGGGACACCGTTGCGCTAGACGGCGGTGTCATCACCGTCGGCAAGCGAACCAGCTTCATCGTCGATACTATTATCCGGGGACTCGTAGGTGTGGTCAAGACTTGAGAACCTCGTCCCTGTGTCGATGGAAGATTTCCAATGGTTGCCTCTTCCTCCATTCGGTTCATTGTTGAAATCACATTGTGATGCCCTAATGGCGGAGTTACGCAAGAATCTGCATGCTGCAGTACCAACTTCGTTGATGGACGATGAAGTAGCGGTTGTTGACCTTCACGAGTATATTGCGAAGATCGACCGCGAGTATGCCACGCAACAGTACGACGACGTTGACGCGCCGTTGCTTTACATCCTCATTCAGATAGGGAAGGAGACATGCGACACCTTGATCGATTGTGGAGCCACTCGCAACTTGGTATGTGTTGGCCTCGGCCCATGGTAGTCGCAGCCCACGCAAGTCAGGTTGGCCTATTGTCACACGCACAAGTCTATGGTCCGGTGCATTGATGCGGCGCGCGTGTACTTCGCCTCGCACGCACGCGAAGTCGTGTCCTTTCTCATCTTAGACAAGCTCGACATGAAGTTGGGCATGTCGTGGCTGCGAAGTGAGGACCACCTGTTGAACTTCTATCGCCGCACCGTTCATGCTCGTGATTGGAACAGGATACTCGTCCCATGCATGGTTCCTCAGCCTCACCCTTCGACTGGTTATCACTCGGTCTCCGCGACAAGCATGCGCAACTCTATCGCACGACCAGACGTGGAAAGAATGAGCATTTGCTTCTTGCATGCCCTCCCTCCTCATGACGAGGTAGTGACGGAAGTGCCACCGGATTCACGCATTAAATCTTAACTACTCCGGCGACGTATTCGAAGCCCCCGTCGGAATCATACCAGATCGGCCAATTCGTCACGTCCGCTGAAGATGGGGCCGTACCTCCACGCGGCTGTATTTACCGCATGAGCGAGGAGGATCTCGAAGTGCTTCGAATGGACCTCATTGGCATCGGCTGGATTTGCCCTAGCTGCTCGCGGTTCACCCGTTCTCTTCATCTAGAAGAAGAACAAGGAATTGCGGCTATGCACGGACTACCGTAAACTTAACGAGCAAATCGTTAAGAATACTGGCCCGCTCTTGCAAATCGACGATCTTCTCGAACGTTTGGACGGCGCCATGTACTTCTCCAAGTTTGACCTCAAGTTGGGTTGCTACCAAATTGAGATCCATCCACGGGATTGGTACAAGACCGTGTTCAAAATGTGATTAGGTACTTCGAGTGGGTCATAATGCCAATCGGCCTTACGAATGCCTTGACCACCTTCCAAGAGGCAATGACGACGGGGTTCCAGGACATGTTGGACGGATTCGTGCTCATCTACCTCGACGACATCTTGGTGTATAGCCGGACTTTGGACAAGCACTGTTTTGAACAGGTTATGTACAACCAAGCACAAGGCCAATTGAGCCGAGTGCGAATTCTCGCAACAAGAGCTCGAGTACTTCGGCCACTTTGTGACGCTGCAAAGCATCTGTCCTCTGACGGACAAAATCAAGGTCATTCAAGATTGGCCGGAACCAACCAACACTACGAAAGTTCGTTCTTTAATGGGATTGGCCTGGTACTACCAACGCTTCATCGACGGGCACCTTTCTCGAAATTGCAGTCGCCAAAAGTTCCCTTCCACTTCACCGACGAAATTCGGAGGTGGTTCCAGAAATTGAAGACGGCGTTGTTCCTCCCCCTCTAGTATCTACAATCCCACCTTGCCAACGAGAGTGACCACATACGCTTCCGGCTACAACATTGGTGCAGTTTTGGAACAACATAACGGAGTAGATTGGCATTCGGTCGAGTATTTCAGCCGAAAGGTGCCACCCATCAACTCAATTGATGATACGCGAAAAGAGTTGCTCGCATTCGTCATGGTTGGTGACACTTCCTCCTCGGGTGTCGTAGCTTCACTTGGGCAATGGATAACAACCCATTGACCTACTACAAGACACAAGACACGGTGAGCAAACGATTGCTCGGTGGATGTATTTCATCGACCAATTCGACTTCACACCGAAGCACATTTCGTGTCTCTCCAACCGAGTCGCGGATGCTCTCTCACAAAAATCAAATCTTTGTGCATCAATCCATCACGTGTTTTACTTTGACGACGATCTTGATCAGCATTTTGTGTGTGCATTCAAGTCGGATTCGGAATATTCCACTCTTTACGAGCAAGTTTCTTCGGATCACCCACCAGCCAGCCACTACCGCATCACCGACAACTACTTGCGTCTCCATTCATGAGGCAAGGACATAGTATGCGTCCCACGAGACTGTCGATTACGGACTCGCCTTCTCAACGAGTACCACGACTCGCAACTCGCCGTCCGCTTCGGAGGCATCCGTACGATTGCAAATCGTTGTCGGTGGCTCGACTTCATTACCAATGCCGCTTGGTATTGCGAATCTTGCGGAGTTTGCCAACGAAGCAAACCCTGCAACCGCAACCCGTATGGCGAGTTGACCCGTTGCCTATCCCTCTGCAACTCGGCCTCTCTATTGCTATGGACGTCACCGACCCGTTCCCCTGCGATCACTTTCGAACAAGACGACATTCTCACGGTCGTTGACCGTTTGAGTAAGTACGCGCATTTTTTTCGTTGCAAGTATCACTGCGCCTCCCGAGCTCGTGCAACTCTTGCACACCGGCTGAATTTGCATCCACGACATTTAAGAGGATATCGTAGCGACTGCGACACTCGCTTCATGTCGGCAGTTTGGACTTATCTCATGAAGGAGTCCGGCACCGAGATGAAACCGAGTTCAGCTCAACATCCACAAACGGACGGGCAAACGAAGTGGGCACATCAAACCACTCAAATGATGCTCCGTACTCTCATCTGTCCAGACCAAAATGATTGGGTTGATTGCCTCCCCGACATGAGTTCACCTACAACACTTCGTTGCATCCGGCGATCGGCGTGACTCCGTTCAAGTTGCACCACGGTGGCCAGAAAGGCCATATCTTCACTAATCTCGTATTTCCACAGGCTGCCGACATAGACGCGCCTTGGTCTCCCACCTCTGATCGAAAAATTCGCGACTTGCTGGCCCATGCCTGCATTAAGAGCAAGCCAATAGGCATCGCGTGCCATGACGGATCCGCGCCGACGACCTTGTTTGGGTCTCCATGGAAGAGTTTGTGCTCGAATAAGACGTTTCGCACAAGCTACTCCCTAAGTGGTTTGGACCTCGTACCGTCACATTAGCGGCGGGCAACGAGCGCGACGGCCCATCATTTGTAATCGACATCCCACCTCATCTGTCGATCCACCCGGTTTTTCGCGCTTCCAAGACGGCCATGTATACAGCAGTCAAGACCGACGACTTCTCGAACCGACGATCGCAACCCTCTGCCTTTTACGGAGAACGGGGGAACTAAACTCCGGCTGAATCCCGTTGAAACTGAAAAAATCCCGCTAAATTTTCGAAAATGGGCCACTCCCGCGCCTTTCGGAAAAACGAAATTGATGCACGGGGTCCAGAACACGTGGCCCTAGGCACCTGTGCACTCAACCCCCCCCCCCCCCCCCCCCCCCAAAAAAAAAAAAAAAAAAAAACATTTCCCCAACCCCTGAAGCACCTCTTATACCACCGAATGAGACCAAAACCAACCGGGCTGCCACCCACCACTTACAAACCCCCCGGTGCCAGTCACCGAACCTACCCGGAAGCCATCTAAGCCATCCGCCCCCACATCCCCCAACCCCCAAGGCCCCAGTTATGTGTATGTGTGCGTATGTGTGTATGTATGTGCCTGCGTGTGAGAGTGTGTTTGTGCGTGAATTTGTATGTTTGCGCAGGTGTTTGTGTATGTGTCTGTTTGTAAGTGTGTGTGTGTGTGTGTGTTTGCATGTGTTTGTGTGTTGTGTGTCTGTGTGTGTGTGCGTATCGGTTTTTTTTTTAATACGTAAAGTTAAAATAAAAAATAAAAACATTTGTTGTATGTCTATGAAATGTCTAGAACCCGACATGTTTTATTTGTTTTTTTGCTTTTAAAAAAAAAAAACTCATTTCATCTTTTGTTTTTACTGTTCTTCATTGTGTTTATGTTTTTTGTTTTTTTTTTAAATAAAGTCAAAGTTGCAACGAAAATGAACAGAAGTGAGATAACAATATTCAAATTGCACAATCACATTGAAAGCCAAATCGTAGCACAGTGTTCACGAAGCAGCATTGCACAAATATAACACCAATGGAGAATCGAAGCACTGAAAGTCAATGTCAATGAGAGCTTGCTCTCGCCACCACCAACATATGTATCCAGTCTCTATCTCCCTACCTGGCGCTCGGCCCCCAGCCTACTTCCTACACATCTACTACTAGCCTACGAATTGACAATGCAACTGTTGACGTCAGCAGCACCCGAAGTACTTGAAGATGTCGCCCATGCAGAATCATCGCCAATACCAGGTATGTGCCCTCACATCATCATCATCATCATCCTTCTCTCTCCCCTTTGACTCTCGCCCACGTCTCACTTTGTTGTACACCCGAAGACCATCCCTGCGCCTCACTGTATGTCCAAGCTCACAACCAGCTATGGAGGCTGGGCTATGGCGCTGCCCTCAGCAGCGCCCTGCTTCACCACACGACCGCACGTGCACAGCCTGTTGCTCCAATGCCAGCAGCCAGCACGCGAGCTATCGCTCCAGCAGCGCGGCCGCCAGCCACCAAGTGCCTGAATCCCCTCACCAGGCAGCGAGCTCTTTCCTATATGGAAAGAGCCTGCCTCGATTGGCAGCCTGGCCGAACTGGTCTGGGCCCAGAAGCTTCCGGTAGGCCCCAGGATGCTACGCCTCTGATGCAGCTACTGGGCCTCATTCGGTTGGGCCTCCCAACTGTCTGTGTATGAGGCTGCGAATCTGGCCCAGGACCTGAGCTTTCGGAAAAGCCTGGAAGGCCTGGGAATTTCCACGCTCCCCGGCCTGTGTTTCCCTTCAACCAGTTGCCGCGGCGAAATTGCTTGGACCCCCAAATGCGAAATTGACAACCAAGGGCCTCTCGTGATTTATTAGGCCCGCCTTCACTTAGGGTGGGCGCTCTTGCAACAGGGGCCCCTCAGGCCTGCCGAGGACCGAGATCCCCGCATTCCCTCCTCTACTTCGTAAATCCTCTGAGAAGTCTGTCACTCTGCAGGCATTTTCCCTTTGAGTTCTCTTTCGTAGCCTGCAATCACTTGAGGTGCTGTTCTCATGAGTTCTTCTCGTGTGAACCAGTGATCTTCATTAGGATCCAAATGATGTCTGAATCTCACACGATACTGCATTCTTGGTTCAGGAGGGCGGCCTTTGCCTGATGGTCGAGGTACCGGCATCACTTGATGCTCCACGATCTGGACAATATCCACTTCGCCATC